GTACACAAAGACGGTTATATAAAGTTCGTTGAATCTGTTTCCTCCGCAACATATTATCGGTACTATCAACTAATATGCCCTTCAAGAAGTGACCCAATACCTTTTTGTTGGCTTGTCGGTGATGGGGACGTAACTGTGTGTTTAAGCAAGTGTATTTCTCCGATAGTTTAACCACTTGAAATGTATCAGTAGTATTATGTTTTGTTGCCCTAATCCGCCGGTCATAACTATCCATATAGCAAACAACTTCAAACCTGTCTTTTGTAGATTTTTTCACTTCATATTGGAAACCTTCACTAACACTTTTCAATCCTAAATTAAGCTTAAGTGCTTCTTTGTTTTTGAAGAGTTGGTATAACTTCACATGGGAATTATAGTTGTGCGTTGTGGCCCCTTTACAATTTTGTTGAACTAATTCGAGTAATGGTAAAGGTTCAGACATACCCCAATGGGTGGGTTGTGTTTCTTCATAATCGGAAAAATAAAAAGGAACTTTTCCTGTTGTGCTTTTTGGGGTTGTAAGGGATCATTTTCCTCTTCCCCGCCTTCATGATTATCCTCATCAAATTCAGTGTAACTCTAAAAATGTTCAACTGGCTCTCCATGTGGAATTATATTACCATCATCAACCAACATCATTAGTTTTGCCTCATCATTCTCATATTCATCAACATCAACAGTAAGGTCAGCGTGAACAACAACCTTACATTTAGACCTATAATCACCCCCATGTATAGGGTCATTGTAAGAATGAACATGATTGGTTATCATAGGTAATAAATTACAAATTTGGTTACTTCCAGCACCGGAAGAACCATTTCCAGAACGATTTCCCCCGAGAAATCGATTAGTACCACTTTCCATAACAATATTAACAACAAATAATTGTACTGTGTTGGGAGGCATGGTAGTAACAAAACTAAGAAACTATCTAACATCACTATCGTCAAGAATCTGCATAACTATATTTGATCAAGGACATTGAAAAGATAGACAATTTTGATTAGTGTGTAACTTGGACTTGGAAGTAACCAACGTAACTAACCCAACGAAATTAATATCATTGTTTATATCTACACCAAAGCATGTGTAATTCAGAGCAAGATACTGCATACATCCGTTAATACGTTGCCATTTTCCTCCACTAGAAAATGGAACTCGAAAAAAACCCGTATACGTACTCATTCCGGAACATTTACTGAAAGTACCGAACACACAAATATATTAAACACACAAATGTATTGCATATTTGGAACAAAAACCCCAATTCTAGCTCTCCGGAATGTATGGTCGTTCCGGACGTCGTACGTGCGTCAAATTCCGGACCAAATTCCCATCAACTGGCACCCACTCCAGAACAAGATCATAAATACGTTGAAATATCATATTTCGAATGACAAATCCGGAACAAAACTACGTGCTCCGGAATATGATATTCCAGATCATGTGGTCAATTTCCCCCAAAAAAGTTGTTGGTTATTTTTATTAAAATGGTTGTTTATAAGGGTTAGATTACTTAATTTCCCAAAATATAAAGGCTTTTTAGCCTTGTAAAACTTGTAGCATCAATGATATCTCTTACACGTGCAGAGGGTGCAAATGTGAATGGAAATCTCTGATTCTTCACTTATGATTTTGTGTTTTCATGCTACTCTCAAGGTAATATTCGCTTCTAGTTATTGTATCTTGGGAAATAAATGTCTGATTGCAAGCGAATTTATTTTAAGAATACCGTATTAAACACAAGCCTCAATATTTTATGTGTTTTTGGTTGTTCTTTCGTATATTACTACTATTAATTTCATACATATTCAAGTTTTAGATGAAAACCATTAGGGTTGGGGCTTAATTTTGACACAAAAAAAAGTTACAAGGACATCAAATATTGGTGAATGGGAGTCTTGGACTGACAGACTGTAACCAAGATGGTCCCAATAAGAAAGAGTGGGAATTATTAGCATTTAGAATCATGGAAGATCACCACGATGAAATTCATTTTTTTAGTTTTTGTAAGTTCTTCCAAAGTACTTTAATGTATAGGGAAACATTTACGTGTGTTACAATCATATTGAGGTGTTTTTGGAGATCTAAGAAGCTTACGATAATAAATTAAGAAAAATCATTAGCTAAGGAATGAGGTAAGCACATAGTATTTTAAGCATATGTCTCCATATGACGTTGTACTTGTACTTTCATGTGACTTGTTGTACTGTACTATATATTATGCATTGCTTGAATAATATATGCACTTATTTGTGCATCATCTCAAGCAAATGTTTTATGATTAATCGAGTTTATAAATTATGAATGTCTTTTAAAATGTTTAAAGTAGGATTAACGAACTTATGCACCGTTCAAACGACTAAAGTAGGATTACCGATTGGTTGTTCTATTATGGCTCCTTTTTCATTTCATTTTATTTTATGGCTTGTCAATTTTATGTTAATTGTGAGCTGACATGTGAGGAGGTGTCAATCAACATAGTATGTGGTCACAACATCGTTGCAACTCGAGACGGCCTCAGTACTATAAATTCATGTCTAACTAGGGAAGGGTTGCCCCCGCTCTGCGGGGTCAATTTGTATCATAAATTTTTTTTCTAATTTTGTTGTATTGTTATGTTAATAATAGAACGTAAAGAAGAAACAAAACATATATACTACCAACTTATTTATGATCAGGAATAATTACATAGAAACATTCAGCTGTCTTTGGTGTTGATGCTATTTAAAGTTGTTTCTAGCATCTGATTTTTTTTTTGTGTATGAGTGTAGTTATTTGTGTGTTAGTCTGACGATTTGGAATGAAGGCTTATTCTAATTTATGGTCGTTTAATTTTACGTGGTAGGTTAGAGAAGTAATGATAACATTTAAATCTTGTTTATGTTTATTTCAATTTCTGACGTTTGAATGATCTTCGGGTTTGATATGGTGGTTCACAAAAGTTAATGAGGCATGTCTATGCTTTTAGGGTGGCGTTTCTTTAAGCAACTTTTTATTATTTACTATATATTACATGCGCTTATAGGTAAAAACGAAAGACTTAAACATCTGTGAACTTCTTCATCAACTGCTTGTATTTGCCAATTCGTTTGTGAATTGACCCCAGCATAAATGATGTATTGTCTTGCATGGATAGGTTTTCGGTATTTGCATCTTCAAGAAGATCTTTTATGATTTTGTAATTGCTACTATTTTCTTCTATAGAGAGATTGCTGTTAAAATCGTCATGGATTTTGGCTCCTTCTTCAATTGTTATTTGAACCGCCTCCATCATGTCACTGACCTCTCGTAGATGGGTAATCAGTTGTTGTAAAATTTCTCGAACTTGGACGTCTTTCATATTTGTGTAGTGTAGTATATGTTTTACTGTGTGTATGTCAAGTCATGCTTTGGTTCTTATATAAGTGATTCATATGGAGTTTTACTGTGCTTTTGTAATTCGTGGCATGATATGTAGTCTCATAGTCACATCAGTGTTATGACATGTATGCTTCAATTAACAATTTCGTGGCAATACTATATCTATTTTAGGTGAGTAGGTTATAGGATATGAAACGATGAACGCATATTAGAAAAGGTTTTTTTCTTGTTTTTTTTATGTTATTTTTAATAACCATCCAACTTTCATTACTTTCATTGTAAGTCTATTAAAAGGATTGAAGAAACAGTTTATTATTTAATTAGATTTTGATATTAAGTGATAAAGACGTATAAAAACATGTTGTTTGTTTTTTTTTATTTGTTATCTAATTTCGTTGTAAGTACTTTTTGTATTTGAAATTTGAATTTAATGGTGTCAGTTTTGGTTATTGAAGCGTTGACACATTATTAAGACCGTGGTAATGACGTGTGTGATTAAAGTGACAGTTTGGTGGCGATACTATGGCTATCTAGGATGTATAGGTTACAAAGATCAATTACCTTCTGGTGTATGTAAAAGGAAATTTAATCTTATCGGAATTCATGATTAAATATCTTTAAAAAAAAAATACTATATAGGGAACTTTTTATATTGATATGTAATGTTATGTATTTGAATAGTATACATATTAACATTTAATTATAACAGTGGTTATTTAATTATACAGTATTGTAATATTTTTCGTAAATGATGCATATATTATTTTATTGGAACATATAATGATCTAAATGTCCTTGTCATGATTTTTATTTTATAAAAGAATTATGAGCTGATGACAAATACTTTTATTAATACGACTGCTTAAAAATAAATTTTTAAAGAAAAATATGAGTTATAAATAAAGTAATTTTTTTCATTGTATATAATTTATAGGTTCAACAACTGTTAACTCATTTTAATATTGTATAATATTATTGTATCTTATATAAGTCTTATTAATTATCATCACGATATACTAATATAGTACAAAACATTTTAGTCATGGTTTTTTGTTGTTGGTTTCATATTATTGCATTTTACTAATGACAAATACTTTTATTAATAAGGATTAACCTATTTTAATATAATATATGTATGACCGTTTTACTATAATACTAAAATTTACAGAGACAATAATTTTTTTATAGTAATTCATTTTATATAACTGCTATTCTCATCATATACTAATAATATAGCACAAAAGATTTTACTTGTGTTTTTCTGTTACTGTTTTCATACAAAATGTGTATTACTTATTCTATTGTACTACAGTGCAAATAACAAAAAAAAAGTCGGAATGATCATTGGATTACGTTGTTGTTTACTGCACTCTACGTCCTCGCTTTTGTTGTTTTTTTGGTGCAGATTCAGCTGTATATGAATAAAAGGAGAGTTAGTTGCCTTTTTTTATTTTATTTTCTTATGTGAATAGAATGTATATGTAAGTACCGGTAGTGTCATATGATAGTTTCCTTGCTGCATGTGGTGTTTCAGAGGTTGTGGAAGTTGTTTCGAGGTTAGGATTGATCTGAACATTTGAAGATTGTGGAAGTTGTATTGGACTGAGTGGTGTTGCTATGTTTGTAGGTGCCAAAATTTATGTTGGTGTAACTGGTGTAAGTGTCTTATTTGGTGCGGTGATTTCATGCACATCAACAATTATAAAACGGATGTTTTTGGTGGTAGATCCTCTTAACATTTGAATTGACATAATTTTTGATGTGTCTTTGTGATTCATGATCATTGGTGGCAAGAACTTTCTATCACTTACATGGTCATCGGTTATTATTTTTTCCGGTGGACTGCCAATTAGTTTTCGGGCTGAGGCATCAGTCATTAGGGCAGATATGGAGCCTGTTGGATCTGTTAGATCTATAACTATTTTGTACCTGTATAGAGGTAAGCTATATTAGTAAGAGTGAATGCAGATTGGTTGTTTAGTCATTATAATTCTTTTATTATAATCATACTTACAGGAAAGTAGGCAACTCTGTTTTTCCATGAGCACTACAAAACCAGTAGTTACCTTTCCTGAAAATTGGATCCTTGCATGTTGGGCACAATACTTGGAACCAGTAATCTTTGAATGTGATTTTTGACAACACGCTTTTACACAGAATGTTTTATCCTATGGTTTTAGATCATCATAGTGTTATAACTGTGTTAATCATTTGTTAGGAAGTTGTTATTGAAGTATATAGCCTACCAGTAGGTCGTTATGATTTTTATTAATCAATTCATGCACTGTTATCAGTGGTCCGGAGAGTGTCGGAGTTGGTGGTGTAGGACCAGTAAACCTGCAGTCAGATTTTGGAAGTAAATTTTTTTATTAACATTTACTAAATATTTTTTAATAACCATAATGGACCTGTCGATTAAAAGTGTTGTCTCCTGTATTGGTGGATTAACATAGACGTGTGTGGCAGGTGATGATCCAAATCGTAGAGTTCCTGTAAAATGTGTGAACAATGTATGTCAATAGTTTTAAAGAGGATAATGTAATTATTTATATAATTGTTATTAAACTGCAAATACTGTTTGGTTATTGTTACCAACAATTATTGAACTCTTTATATTTGTAATTGCAACAATTGTTGTTGCAGGAGGAGGTGCCAACTGTTCACGTTTTAATTTTTCAGGAACATTAATACATTCTTTCCATAAACTGATTGCTGTTTCATCACCACTGAGTTTTATGTATAAGGGAACCATTAGAACCAGTAAAAATAATTTAAGAAACGATTAATGATGTATAAGTATATATTATGTACCTTTCATCTGCAAGAATTACAAGAATGAATTCCTCTCTATCAGCCTTTGTGCAATTTCTGATTTTTTTTAGCACACCAATGAAATCTGTTGTTTAAAATAAATTTTGGTTACAAATAACGTCTATATTAATATAACATCTTTTCTATAAATACCTGGATAATATGGAGGGTTTTCACCTAGGTCAATCAGATCAGTTTTAGAAACAAATCGAAACCAGGTTGTAGGGATTGTAATAGTGTCAGGAAAGGGAACAATTACAGACGCAAGGCCAACATCAATATAGATTTCATTTTCTAGAATTTTCTGATACTCTGCTAGATAGGGACATGTATATTCTGATATTGTATAGCAGTTGTGAATATGAAGAACTGATTCAATGTATCCTTGGTTGCTTCTTTGTCCCAAAATCTGTATTGCATCTCCCTAACGCATTAAAATGTGGGTACATCTTAGTAACAGTAAATAATTTTAGTGTATTGTTTTTATGTGAATTTGTGTGTACTCACATATCTGTCTACAGCAAGATACCATGTTTCATACCGACGGTAGTCTGATTTCCATTTTCGCAAGATCCGCACCTGTAATGGACCTCCTTCGCATGCATACTTTAAGTCAGATATGTTAGTCATAATGCTGTCAAATAAAACAACAAACCATTAGCTGTTTATTATATAAAATAATTATAATACACAAATAATAATTAGTAATGATGTTATGAACCTCATTACTGTTAACTCTGGATAAAAATTCTTTAAATACAACGTTTTTTGTCTGATTCTGGCATGTATTTTCATCATTGTTTATCAGAATTTTTAGTGAACAGGGAGATGTTGCTCTTGATAATGCAACGTACAGTTGACCATGTGTGAATACAGGCTGTGGCAAATAAATACCAATTTTCTTTAATGACTGACCCTGACTTTTATTTATCGTCATGGCATAACAAATTTTAATGGGGAACTGTTTGCGTTCAAAGGCAAATGGTAAGTCAGGAGGTTTGTGAATGAATTTTATGCGGGGTATGTATACACGCTTGCCAATGCATGTTCCTGTTATTATTATTGCTTCTACTACAGTTGGAAGTAGTTGTGAAACAATTAACCGTGTACCATTACACAAACCTTCCCTCTGGTTAATGTTTCTTAATAACATTACAGGAGCTTTTACTTTCAGCCTGAGGGCGTGAGGCGGGATCCCTGCAAAAGTTAACTGGTTTAGATATTCAGTTGGATATAAACCTTCCAACTCTGATGTATACTTGCCATTTGGTTGCATAGTGTCTGTGCTTTTATAAACCCTTTCTTGGGTCGTCATCATTTCTAGAACTGTTGTATTTAAGGCATCGGCAGTCTCATTTGTGGGACAGACAATAGCTCTTACAGACAAATCAGATGGTGATGGATTGTGCAGCAGATCATTTCCATATACAAAGAGTATTAATGTTTTTAAAGAGTCACTATCTTGAGGTATCAAAAGTGAATCTGGTATTTCTACTCAGCTTGTACTATGTGGATCATCTGTAGCGGGAATTCCTAAAGTCCCATTTCCAATATTAAGTAACCATTCTGCAAAAGCGGATATAGATAAGCCGTTAGTTACATCAGTTTCACAAGCTGCTAAACGCATGTTCTGATGCAATTTACAAATCTTAAAACACGACCACAGATACGAATTTGGAAGAGTTAATGCAATGATGTGAGTCCGAGTACTTTTTGGGGAAACTGGAAGTGTCTGACGGAAGTCTCCGCCAAGGAGGACAGAAATACCACCAAAAGGCCGGTTTTCACAATCCAGAACATCTCTAAGAGAGCGATCAAGATATTCAAAACAGCGTCGATCATTCATAGGTGCTTCATCCCATATAATGAGTGATGTTTGTTTTAGTAGATCTGCAAGTATTGTTCTTTTTTTTATGTTACAGGAGGTTTTTTCAGCCAGGTCAATGGGGATATTAAACCTTGAATGCGCAGTTCTTCCGGAAGGTAAAAGAAGGGACGCAATCCCATAAGCAGCAACCGCAAGTACAATTTTCCCAATAGACCGGAAATATGCAAGCAAAGTAGTCCACAAAAATGTTTTCCCTGTCCCACCATGACCATACACAAAAAGTAACACCTGCTTTTTATTTTGTTCAGATACCACAACAGTGTTATAAACATACATTTGATCTTCATTCAGTTGTAAAACCATTTGTGAATGTTGTTGCTGCAAAGATTCCTTGTCATAACTTGATTCTTCTAACAAAAGTCGGTTCTGTAGGATAGCAACAGCAGCTGGATTTGGCATGGGTAAATGGAAATCACCTAATGATTTTGAAGGTGTAGAAGACCTAAGCATGTTCTCCAACTCAAAAAGCAGTTGTTGTTGTACTACATCATCAGCTATGTGATACACTTTATCTGGGAAGTCAATTTTTAATTTCAACATGTAGTCGTCCATCATTTTGCGCCATGCATTTTCCCAAAGTAGTTGTGGATTACTTACTTCACAAAACAGCAGCAAATGGCAGAAAAGAGAACGTAATTGTGAAGAAGTAGCCCATAATGAAGCCTCTCCAAAAGCCGTTAACCATTCCATGTCTTCACCTATCAAACCTAATGCATTACATGCACTTCGAAAAGTTGGATGAAGATGACCAGAGACTGTACGAACATCTTCATAAGACTGACATCCCATCTGATGACAGAGCAACATACGAAAATAGAATAACTCTCCTGAAGATGGATGTACAAATACAAGTCTACCTATAGTTTTTGAAGATTCCAAAACTCTTTGTTCCCATTTTTTAAATTGAGGATCCCATGTATATCTGTTGGGGTAGTCAATATAAGTAAGATCATGACCCTTTGGATCTGTTATATTATTATCAAACCATCCAAGTAGTGGTGTCTTAGCAAAATCAGGAATACGAAGAACATCCTCTACTCCACCACTTTCCTTGAATACCACATACTGCATATTTAGTAAGTGAACAGGCAATGTCATGACAGGGGGATGCCGTCGATGAATGAAAAAGTTTAATATTCTCCATGCAGCTTCATGTGGGCAAATGTAACGTGCATCCAAGAAATTATGAACCTCATCTACAAGTGCGACTTGTGAATCAGAAGTACCAGTAACAGCTGCCTCACTTTTCTGAACAACGAACCTAACACGTTCAACTCCTTTTGAAATATATTTAAACAGATATTTGATCATCATATTCCATCCATAACACACTCAACATTTATGTGTGCATTAAACCGACTACACAATCTCTTGTTGTATGGTACTAAATATCCATTATCAATCATAGTGCCACTTTGCATTATGTGATGTGCAATTGAGTTCCTTTTGTAGTGTGCGTACCCTTTTTTTTTTATCAAAACTTGTAGCATCATGAAAAGGTTTAGGAAAGTGCTTACTATATTTCCCATCCTTCATACAAGGAGCCTTATAATTCAGTGGACCACATGGGCCATGAATCATACACGTCGTTACCGTGTGATAGAGGGACGCTTCCAAGACAGGATCTGGAAGTTCTGCACTTATAAAGTTATCAATGTCAGCAGGCTGCCGAATACTATCTGATTTGGATACCCATAAAAGCGTGTGGCAATGCGGTAAACCTCTTTTTTGAAATTCTATAGTATACAAATCTGAAATATATAAAAAAAATATAAATAATTAAAAATCATAAACACAAAATAGAAGTAAAAAAAAAAAAAGAACACACTTACGTGCTTCAACTTTGCCAAAAGTTTTGTCCTCTTAAAGAAATGAAATGAAGGCCTTGACTTTCATTTCAAAAACTCTAGCTATCACATCAGCTCTACTATGAACATCATGTTGACTATAAGTTTCCATATACCGTGTTATTTCCGGCCACTTTACATTACATGTAAATGTAATAAAGTATTGTGGATTTCCATATACTCTACATATCGACAATGCATCCTGATAATGACTATACATATAACGGGGGCCACCAATAAACGATGCAGGTAAGAAAACCCGTTTACCAACAAATTTATTCTCTCTATCCCCTTTAGACAGAGCATCATAAAGACCAGATAGATAGTCAGACCTTAAATGTTCCTGGTTATTCAAAATAAACTGTAAACGATCTGCTTCAATACAGGTATAAGCATCAACCAGGTACTGCTGGAAAAGTCGACCCGAGTTAAGGATAAGAGAGTATATATCCCGACGCGCATGAATCTGATAACTATAATACATGTTTACTATTAGGTTTCTAATACGCGCAGCTGCATCACCCCGTAATTTCAAACGTGGACACCAGCCGTCCTCACCAAACGGAAACAGCAAAGGATATTGTAAAGGCATATAACTGGGATGTAGTTTACTCACTCGTTGAGGACGACCGGATTTAGAGTGAACAATAATATCATAGTTGGCTGAATTACTATCATCACCAGTAACAATACAACCTAAAGTGCCAGGAGCTGGTGAACCGTATCTACGATCATGAATGTTATTATATAAACGAACTGCATAAGACTCCATATTCATAACCTCAGCCATCTCCTTAGCTGTTTTAAATGTCTTAACATATTGATTGTGATTAGAAAGGGATTCCATCAGAACACGCACAATACCAGCATCCAAATCTTTCCTAGCAGGATCATGAAAGGCCTTTAATCGATTGGAAACCTCATTAGCAGTATCAACAACATACAACTGCAAAAATCTTGGACCTTTAGAATCATCAGGACATAAAGACCCTATCCAGTGATAAACCTGACCTGAAACCTTAAAACATAAGGGCCGCGACCATTATTAATATCCTTATCAACAACAGCTCCAAAAGATGTCATGGAAAACATACTATTATAACCTCTTATATCAGTAAAAAACTGAATATCTTCATAAAGTTTAGAAATTTCAAAAGGAGGCGTTAACGGAAGAGGCAAAACAACAGAACCCCCCTTACAACAGTGATTATACTTAGGATGATTGGTTTCATAACGATTTCTAAGTCTTTCCACAAACCAGAAAAGAGCTCCACAAAATTCACAAACACAAACACAATCACCACAGTCATAGTATGTAGGAAGACCACCATAAGAAATAAGTCGGGACCGTTTACTTGTACGCATAACAGGAGTAGCAGACACAGAGCACTCCCCAGACTCAATAATGCTACGCTTCTGAACCTTACGCATATGAACCAAGAAACGAAAGAAACATCAAAAGATAATGAACCGCAGTGAAGGGAAGCAAACAAAAACCCTAACAGAGGAAATACCAAAAACCGGGAAAAGGAGAAGCAGAAGTAAATTACCTGGAGCAAAAGATGAGGAAAAGGGAAAAGAAAGAAGGTCGACTAATATATTCAAGGAAGAAAAAGAAAAAGAAACGTAAGTTTGAGTCAAAGCAAGGGAATATGATGGAAATAAAGTGGTCAAAGTAAAAAAACCCAAAAAGTACCCTGGAGCAAAAGATGAGTAAAAGGGAAAAGAAAGAAGGTCGGCTAATAAATAAACGGAACTTTGAGTCAAAGGAAGGCAACATGATGGAAATAAAGTGGCGAAAGTAAAAAAACCCAAAAAAGTATCGTAGACAATGCTCCCCACTTTTAAGTTTATATATAATTAACACATACATTAATCATCGTTTGCCACCATCTACACCAAATTTCCGTTCATGTATGCTTAGCTGTTTATGGAAATTAATGCTTATTTGCTTTCATTTGCACTAAAATATCCTATAAATACGTCTTATTCGTAAGGTCAGAACAAGACCACTAAACACAAATTTATTATTCACTCATAAATGTCATTTAATTTTCATGTCCATCATAAAACAGTCAAATTTGATCTCGAGAAGACACCCAAAATATTTTGGGTTTTATGTAGAAAATTCTTATTATTTTGAAAAAATCTTTGACAAAATCATAAATATTTTTTTACATTATTTTTGGAAAATCACATAATCTTTCATTTCCCGTTAAAATAAAAAAAAAGATTTTTTTATTAATTTGAGCAAAATGTTACATAATCAGGATTTTTCTGTTTAAATTTTTTAAAAACTTTATCAAATTTTTTTTCCAAAAATAATAAGATTTTTCTACATAAAATCCATTTTTTTTCATGGATAACGTAAGGTTTCTAGACGATTTATAACTCAGAGCATCCACAATATAAATCTTAATATAGAAATTGAATATAAATCTTAATACTATAGAAATTGAATGATATTCAATGAACTAAATTAAATAATAATAAAATATCATTTTGAAACTCCATGAACATTGAGTTTACCTGTCAACTAACTTTTCAATAGAAATAAAAATAATTCTCAAATAAATATAATAAATTAGGTTTTATAATATATGGGTTGTTTAAATATAATTAATTAAATTTCATAGTGTACATTATATTATAGAAAAAATAGTATCAAACATAAAATACTATTAAGATAGTCTATTAAACTTTATAAAAATTTAATGGATTATAGAAGTACATTATAGACTTATAAACATGAATTTAAAACATGAAATTCCACCTTAATCTTTACTTAATGCTTACAACTTATTTATATCTATCAATTTGTATTATTTTGTTATTGTTAATTGCATTTTGAATAGTAAACGGAAAGTTGGAGTAAATAAACTTATTATTTATCCTCTAAAATAAAAAAATTCAAAACTTTTTGTTGACTTCAACCGTTTAAATTTGATGTTTGTCAGCTCATATTACTTCTTCAAACAATTATGGCATCATCATTGTTATCGCCACCACTTTTTCCTCTTTCGTAAAACATATCAACCCAAAAGAAACCATCACCATGGACTCGCCGGATTTCCCCTCCGGCACCGCCAAGTCTCCACGGTCACTTCAGGGCCCACGTCCTTCCCCTCTCAGAGTCCGGAAAGATTCCCACAAGATCAGAAAACCGCCGGTAGCTCCACCACCGCAGCACCAGCAACACAACTACCACCATCAACCACAACAAATCCAGCAGCAATACCGGCCGCCGGTCATCATCTACACCGTCTCCCCAAAGGTAATCCACACAAATCCAAACGAATTCATGACTTTAGTCCAGCGTTTGACCGGCCCAACCGCCTCCTCCCCGGTGGGTTCTTCTTTCTCTGCTTTCCACCATGACGGAGGTGCAGTTTCACCGGCGGCAAGATTCGCATCCACAGAAAAAGCGACAACCATGCCAGACGGTAGGAAAGTGCCGCAGACTGGTGACGTGGCGGTGGTGGAAGGGGTGGAGATAAATACCGGATTGGAGAAAGCCGGCTACTTTCCCGGAATATTGTCTCCGGGACCGACGTCACTACCTCCGATTCCACCTGGTTTTTTCTCCCCACTAGCAAATGATCAAAACCCACTTTGTTTTTTTCCTGATTTAAGCCCTGTTTTGCATAGCAACAGAAATTATAATTATTTGGAGAATAATAATTTTCTTATACAAAGCCCTTCAAATCTTCTTTCTCCATACATGATTTCACCCAACACCCAAAATCTCTTCAATAGCCTATTTGACTAGTTAAGATTCACACTTTCAAACTCAAATTCAAAACAAATATGTTGTATCATTTTATGTGATGACATTAATTTGGATTATGTGAGTTTAAGCAGTTAAAACACTAACCTTAATGATGAGTTACAAATTATGAGATACATAAAGTAAATATTTTATGTAGGAGATCATCTTTGTGACAAAGTCGTTTTTTTCTATATGGATACACGATTACCTCCCTACCTCATTATAGTAATGGAATTTCCGAGGTATGTTGTTGTTTATCAAGTAAATATTTTTTTTTTCTAAACAATAATTCTTAAAAATGTATACTTTTATTGTATACGCTTATTATGGATTAGTCGATGATAATCCTGGGAAATAGTATAAATGTGGAAATTTAGAGGGTCATTTTCCATTTAATATTTATATGGTTAGTTGGGACAGTTGGAGAAAGTTTAATTAATATTTATTATTGTTGGGTAGATGAAGATAATTAATTTTGAGGTAAAATATCTACTACAGTATTTATCTCTTTTCATTTCTTTGTTTCTTAGACCAAATTTTTGGTATATACATTCGTGGATTGTAATGTAAAATACTTTGGAAGTTTGGATGTACTTGTACTTAAGTTACTCGTTAAATTTATTGAACATTGGAACTCTTTATTAATTGGATATTTTTGTTGTAGACATGAGGTTTTTTTAAGTTATTATTTGACAATATAAGGTTTTATCATCATTTGTTGCATCTACATTTTGATTTTGATTATTTGTGATTATTATTTTTGAGTTGATGGAGACTCTTTGTTTCTTGACCTAATTAAAACCAATGAGAGTTAGTATTTAGTAATAGGGTCCCGGAGATTATATATCCAGATATAGTCCATAGATTTGAGCCGGTCTTCAGAGACTAGAGGTGTCCCAAGTTCCTTGTTTGTTGTTTTGTTGTTTTCTTCTCTAATGATGTGTCGTAAATGAGAAATCAAATACCTTTTTACATTTTATTCCTACTCATCCTCCTACAATATCAAATGTTGACATGTATCATATTTAATGACATATTTATTGAAATTAATACTAATTTAATCCACTTGTCATCATTTGATATGATAAGAGAATGAGGAGGAATAAAATGTAGAAGACTTTTCTAGATATGACATGGGCTTTATAAGCTCTAACTTGTATGCATGTTTAGGCATGTTTTTTCTTTCTATATATAATATATAAATCTAATGTATCTTGTAAATCGGACAATGATTAATAATATTATTTCTAATTTGTCTGTTGCGTAGCATATAATTACCATGATCATGTGAACCTCACATTGATTCTTATATTCTTTATTTTTCTTTGCATCTTCAATGGTGTGTTTTCGTTCATAAACCTAACAATTATTTGATTATTGCAGGCTTTATAGTCACATTTAAAATCAGTGAAAATTACAACTTCCGCCTATGTGGTATGTCAAAACTTATAGTTTTTGTCTTAGATATTAGGTTTGTTACATAAGTAGTCCTTAAAGCATCATTTTGTTGCATGTTTGGTGTGTGGACCGTTTAACTTATGAGGTGTTTGGGATACAGTTTGAAAAATGCTAATTGAGTTATTAACTCTACAAAAAACCAATAATCTTAAAAAAATGTTTGGAAAATAAAAAATTACTATTGAAAACAACTTTTCACTACCTTTAAAAAAGAGTTTTTTAAAAGTCACATTACTTACACTCCGTTAGATACGCATCTTTCCAGGTCCAAACAGATCTTTCTGGCTGAATGGATCGGAAAGACTGTTTGATTTGCATAAAAAAATGGGTCTTTCCCAGTAAGATATGTCTTTCCGAGAAAGCCCCAAAATCATATCTTTCTGGCTGAATGGGCTGGAAAGATAATTATGCACCAAACCTTGCATCTTTCTTTCTTTATTGGATTATTAATTTTTTTAATAATTTTTTTTTAAAATTATTTTTATTGAATTATTACTTTTTAATGTATTATTTTATATTAAGAAATATTATTTTAATATATAATATTTATGTATTAATAAATATTATTTTATTGGATTATTAATTTCTTTTAAATAATTCTTTTTTGGATTAATTCTTTTTATTGGATTATTATATATTCATAAATATTATTTATAATATATAATATTTATATATTAATAAATACTACCTTATTGGATTATTAATTTCTTTTAGTTAATTTTTTAAATTCATTTTTATTGGATTAATTCATTTTTTTTGGACAACACCACCACCATCCTAATTTATTTTAAAAAATCTCATCCATCCCACCACTATCGGACATAAACCGGATCATTTTCATCATTCAGCATAGTCAATCAGATGTACAATCAAACAACATGGTTTCTTTCCCAGTCAGAAAACTTTCCCAGACAACACTTTACCATACAACACTTTCCCAGACAGAAACTATCAAACGGGACCTTACTTTTGAAAAGTCATTATGACTTATTTACCTAAAATGATTATAAGCTTATCTAATCATTTGTTTTAAAAAAAGTGTTTATCAATGTGTAGTTTCCTATTACCACATAACTACATAAGTTATTTCACACTTATTTAGAAAAAAAAAATTTGTCACCTGATAAACATATTTATCAAAAAGTGCTTATTAAGTAAATAAACAATCTCAAACACCCCTTCTTGGTGCATCCGCTAAGTCCATGTTAAATGGTCATTTTGCCATGATTTCTTAGTTCTTCATCTTTATCGTCTTCATCTTCAACAAACCCTAAATTCAAACATAATTTAACCAAAAAATAAAAGTAATATCTAAAATAAATATCGAATCAAATTAAACTGAAAACCCAAATTACTATATAAAGAAATCAAAATCAAAATCCTAATTTTGTAAATAAACAAACCCAAAATAAAAAATTAAGCCTAAGTTTAAATGATCTCTTTGACTACATTTAAAAAGGTCATGACAAGGTTTGCAATGTAGAGAGCGATTCTAATGTGATAGATGAATCTATTGTCAAATGTTGTCGCCATGATCCACATGATTGCTTCAAAAATTTTTTGGGATTTTGTGCATTTGTCTGTGTTTCAATTAATTTCGGTTTTACAGGGTTTATAAAATGCTTCCACAACAAAGTGGGTCTAAACATCTTCTTAGAGAATAATAGATTATATTTTAGGAGTTTAGCTACTAATTAGAACTAGATCTAGTCACGTTGATTCTACATTTGATGGTCCCAGATAGACTCATTCACCTACAATATCGATAATAACAAGTATACACACTATAGAGGGGTGTTGAATACAATAAATTTCAACAGTTAATAATAATCTTTTGTAAAACTGTTCGATTTAAAGCATAAATATTTGTTATGGAACAAACCTTAAAGGACAAGGTTTAAATTGGTACCACCATACAACTCCTTGACATATACTTCTATTTTAATATTCTAAATGAATACAAAATAAAAGTACAAATATTAAAGATCATGGAAGAAACATCCTTGTAGTACTTTCTCCATACTTAATTCATCGATATATAATGAAATACCTCAAACATTAGAACATTAGTGACTATTAAGTTGGCTTCTATATGCAAGTAGATATCTCAAAATTTATGAAGTTTTTTATCATGAGATTTTCATCGAAATGTATGCAATAAATATGATGTTAGGCACACCCTAAACTCCCAAAGATCTTTAAAGAATTTTACTTTTGTGAAAATTTTGATCCATTTTAGACATTTTCATAGTTTCTCTTAGGAAAAATATGTCATTGGTTGTAATTATTACAACCCTAATCTAAATCTAATACATGGAAAAGAAAATTCTTGAATGAACCTTTAATATGTTTGGTAAAAGAAAGTATATGTATATTTTTAATAAAAAAAGTGCAATGTGGCCCAATTTGCTTTATATTAAAGGGAAGTGATTCGGACACAACAGTTTTTTACCATACACAACAATTTATGCATTATATAGTTGTACAATACAATATTTTAAAGCATCAATTGTTGTGTATGGAGAAATATTGTTGTGTACGGATCAACTCATTATATTAAACCATTTGATCTTCTATGAATCTTCTAAGCTAACGAAGGTTCTAAAATCAGTTCTAGATATTTATATACTCTAGCTAATCTATGATAATCGAGAGCTCTCTTCACTTTTGATCTTTCTATGATCTGAAGTCAGTCTTTATCTAGTCTAATACCTTAATCGGATTCTCTTCAGTAAGCTTGAGATTTAACTATTCATGTAAATAGTTTAATATCATTACTAACTAATCAATATCAATTCTTCAAATAAGTCAAGAGTATCTTAGCTTCAACTGGTGGTTAGCTGAGAAACTTAACCTTGTATTATTTTCTAAATATAACTCTAAAATATAACTGAGTGTTGATCATTAATTAATATATATAAATGAATATTTAAGTAGTACAATATCCCTTACTTGATGATGAAAACACATATACAACAAATAATTAAAAATAATATAAAGATACTTAGAAAAAAATAATGTCTCAAGGAACATGAAAAATATCAAGTCAATTTGACTTGATAAGTATCGACCCATACTTTTTGTTCTTCGGGTTCCTTTTCTTTTTGTAATATTTCTTTGGTTGTTCATTGATAATGTAGTACAAAAACAAAATGTACAAGATATTACTATAAGTTAAATAGTTGCGGGATAGTAAAAGTTTTAACTAGGCTTCGATCCTAGATACGTTTACAATTTCTTCCTCTTATGTAATAACAACATGTATCCTTCTTAATATAAGGGATATATCTTTAAAGAGCACTTGAAAGCAAAGTCATTTGTTAAAAGTATCTTATATATCTTCTTTAGTACATATGTATTAGGGCATCCACAATCCATTGAACTATATAGAGTTCAATGAATTGCCACATCATCCATTAAACATCTATACAATACCACCCACAACCCATTAAACACCTATTCAATCCTAATCACCACTTTATTCCTTCTATTGAACCATTCAATGATCATTCAACTCCTCCATTCAACTCTACTCCATGTCA